GGTAGCTATTGTAAATGGTATTGTTTTCTTTATTTCCTTTTCAGAGATCTCTTTTTTTATGTCAAGGAATCCAGCTAATTTATGTTGATATTGTATCCTGCCACTTTGCTGAAATTTTGAGTTATTTCCAGTGGTTTTCTAGCTGAGTTTCTTGGGTTTTCTAAAGGATCATGTCATCTGCAAATAGAGTTTAACTTCTTCTTTGTCATTTTGAATGGATTTTATTTCTCTATCTTACCTTACTGCTCTGGATAGAACTCCCAGTACAATATTAAACAGAAGTAATAATAGCATCCTTGTTTCATTCCCATTCACAAGGGGGAATGTTTTGAGTTTCTCTCTGTTGAGAATAATGTTGGCTGTTGGTTTTACATATATGCTCTTTATTTTGTTGATACATTTCATTTCAATTCCTATTTTTCTAAGAATTTTTTTTTATTATTAGGAATGGGTGTTGAATTTTATCAAATGCCTTTTCTGCATCAATTGATATGACTATGTGGTTCTTTTCCTTTGTTTTATTTTTGTGATATATTATGTTTCTTTTTCTGATGTTGAACCCTACTGGCATACCTGGTATGAACCCCACTAGGTCCTGGTGTGTTATTTTTTTGATGTAGTGCTGGATTCTGTTGGCTAGGATTTTGTTGATGATTTTTGTGACTATATTCATAAGTGATATTGGTCTGTATTTTTCCTTTTTAGTAGTGTCTTTATCTGGTTTTGGTATGCTTGCTTGAGGTTGTTGTTAGGTGCTGTCAGGTTGGTTCTGACTCATAACATAACCCTGGTTGAGGTTTACGCTTGCTTCATAGAATGAATTTGGGAGTATCCCACCCTTTTCTGTATCCTGGAATAATTTTTGTAGGATATGTGTCAGCTCTTCTCTGAACCTTTGATATAATTCTCTAGTGAAGCCATCTGGGTCAGGCCTTTTTTTTTTTTTTTGTGGGGAGTTTGTTTATGACCTGTTTCAATTTCTTCTTTTGTTATTGATCCATTCAAGTTTTGTATCTCAGTCTGTATTAGTTAGTAGTTTAGGAGGTCTTCCTATTATTTATTTTTAATTTTGTTTGACTGACTTTGGCCATATTGTCAGAAAGGACCATTCCCTGGAGAAGGTTACCATGCTTGGGCCAATGAAAAAGGGGAAGGCCCTCAATGAGATGGATTGACACAGTGGCTGCAATGATGGGCTCAAGTATAGCAAGTATTGTAAATGTTCAGCTCATATGCCTGTCTTTTGGTTGGCTGGAAGCCACAGGAGTGGGTTCAGTTCTAGACCTGAAGGTCAGCTAGGGGCCATAGTCTCAGTGGTTCCATCAGGCTCTATCAGATCAGCAAACCACGTTACAATTGGACCAATTGTTTTAAAATTTGATTTCTTACTAACCAACCATAAAAATGATAAGCAAGATTAAATTGAACCTTATTTTTAAATTTAGTTTTGTATATAACAATTTTTAGTAATTAGACAAGCCCAAGGCATTGGTTTAACATTTTAAACTTGACCAAAGTTAAACAGATGAAATTTAAAAATATTTTAACTTTCCTAATTAGATATTTTGGAAGGAAGGTTGGGCAATCCTACTTCCGTAGTGATACTGCCTCGGAAACCCAAGGAGGGGTAGCTATGACTCGGGGCACACAACAACAACAACAATTAGATATTATCTCTTGGTGACTACAAGCAAGTTTGGAGACTAGGTCACTTTCATGAAATTCCTAACTCATTTGCACTGACTTTTGCTCCCTGGAAGATAATGTTTGTGGTAACCTTTTCGCCACCACCCCACCCTCACATGGAGAATTTTTTAGCTATGGTATCTCTGTTTCTCATGCTTAAGTTGAATTAGTGTAATCTTTGTTCAGGTCATTGTCATTAATTAGTGTCATTCTTTACTAATGAATTGCTAAAGAAAATTACTTTTTATCAGTTTTACAGACTAAGTAAAGGAGGTGACAACCATGATAGAATCTTAATTATCTGTTATGTTAGATTTACTCTGCAGACCAGAAAACCAAACCAACCCCACTGCAACTGAGTTGATTCTGATTCATAGCAACCCTATAGGACAGAGTAGAAGTGCCCCACAGGGTTTCCAAGGTGTAAATCTTTCCGAAGCAGACTGCCACATCTTTCTTCCTTGGAGCAGCTGGTGGGTTCAAATTGCTGACCTTTAGATTAGCAACGGAGCATTTAGCTACTGTGCCACCAGTGCTCCTTTACTCTGCAAAACAATTCCTTTTTTTACCCAACAAATCTTTATCTTTTATTATGATTGGAAATGGAGCAAATGGCTATAATGTTGTTGTTGTTGTTGTTATGTGCCATTGAGTCGGCCCCGACTCATAGCGACCCCTCCTTGGGTTTCCGAGGCGGAAGTAGGATTGCCCAACCTTCCTTCCGAGGAGTGGCTGGTGGGTTTGAACCGCCAGCCGTCTGGTTAGCAGGCAAGTGTCTTAGCCACTATGCTACCAGAGCTCCTAATGGCTGTAATACTGAATATAAAATACTTTCTGCTAAATGGTGTATCTTTAATTTAAAAGCCACATTTACCTTTTAAGCTATGAATTTTAGTTTAAATCCATCTCTACATTATAATTTATGGACCAGATATTCACAGTTTATTTGTGTGAACCTTTTCACTATACATTTAGCTGCAAGAGAGTTTTTGTGTTTGAAAAGGGTCATTAAGCAAATTGAAACAATCCAGTTTCAATATTGGCATTATTACACATGCATGTAAACAAATGAATACATCCTGTTATATTTTTATTGTAATGTATTCCTTATAAATATACTAAACCAATCAGAAATTCTTAATTTTTATTTTACCAGATTGCCTTTGGCAATGTGATACTAGCTTATAAATATTCTTTGAGGATAAATTATTTAAATGCATAAAATATTACAAATAGCACTAAAGCAAAACAAATTACATTGATATATAGTTTTGTGCATAAACCATAGGTTATGGACCCCTGTATCAAAATTTTGAATAGCCCTTTAGTTGATGTATTAAAAAAATACCTGAGAAAATATCCAACTAGAATTGCTTCTTAAATATACAAGAACCAAATTGACATACATGCATTAAATACATATGTACTAAAGCCCTTAGTTTGTTTCTTGTGTAAATGTAATATATTTACCTTTAAATCCAGAAGAAAGAATTATTATCAATTTAGGAATAAGTATATGATAAGGAAGGAGCCCTGGTGCCTCAAGTGTTTAAGCACTTGACTGCTAACAAAATAGTTGGTGGTTTGAATCCACCAGCTGCTCCATGAAAGAAAATTGGGGAAGTCTGCTTCTATAAACATTTAAGTCTTGGAAACACTATGGGAAAGTTCTGTTCTGCCCTATAGTCATTATGAATCAGAATCAACTCAATGGCAATGAGTGGGTTTTTTTTTTAGTAAGGAAACTTTGAGAAGAATGATTTTGTTTTCTACATTTCTGTGTCACCTAATGGGATTATACAATCCTTTATATATGTCTACAAGACAGTATACATATCTTTAAAGTTTATTTTGAGGAGCTTTGATGGCATAGTGCCTTTGAACATGGGTAACTGAAGATATGAGTTTAGTAAAAAAGATATGATTGAAAAGGTAGAAAGAAGGAGCTTAATGATGACAGAGGACCAATAGAGATAGAATTGGAAAATAAGGCAGGATGTGAAAAAACAGTACACAATAAGAAGAAAGAAAGAAAGTGAAAGGAAAAGAACAAGTATAAGTAAGAAAAATAAGGAAAAGGAAAGACCTACCACTACTCTAGCTAGCAATTTATTTTCTGTAATTCACATATCCCAGAATATTTGGAAATTGTATTTCATCTTTTGTGTGGCACTACACATCTCATATGAATATAATGATATTTTAAAAAGTTAAACAGTGACTGAATTTTCTCCCTTTTCTTGTTTTTCTCTTTTAAAATTTATTATATCCATTATTTCCAGCCCTCTCCTTTTTCATGGAATAGGCAGAATCAGGCCTAAAATGAAAGAAGTATTGTTTTGCAGACATATTATTAAAAGTATACCACTTAATGTGAATACAAGCAAGTGCTAGTTCAAATTTAGAGTTTTTTCTTTTTCTTTTTTCCCAGTATTGTGCTCTCTTCTTTGACATATATAGATTGAAACTGTAGTTTTTCCTTCCAGAGTGCCTTTTCATGCATCAAATATCTTTTCACTTGTGCATAACTCTTTGATTTCTAATTGATTTTTCTCAGTAATTTATGGATTATTAATTTAGTAAAATCAGGAGATAGAAAAAATCAGTTATTTGAACAAAAGGAATATTGTACATGAAATAAAATCAGTGCGGGCCTTTTCTTAGTTGTATTTAAGAGTATTCTTATTTTCACAGTTAATAACCCCAAACTTCATAGACTGTATAGGTGGAGGCATGTTCTTAACCTTTCTCCAAATTCTAATGCCTTTAAATATAGAGAGGCCCTTCACAACCTGTGCCATATGAAGAATGGGATGAAAGAGAATTATTCAAAACACTTGTCAGGTTGGTGAAGTGGTTCATAGGATTGGCTGCAGAATACGCCAAATCTCAGAATGATTTTTAAGACAAAAATAAATAAGATTCATTGCATCTTTTTTTTTAACCAAATTAGGAAAAATTGATTTTATGGGTGGGGGGAATACTGTCTCTGATTTCTGCGTATTGTTATAATATAAAATTGTAATTGCTTTCAAGCCCCTTTAGAGAAATAAATCTTGAAGACATGCTGAGGGGAGAATCTCAGCCTTACTTTTTTGGTATCTCTTCACTTTAGTCCATGGCTATGTTAAATATTTAAACCTTATTAGATAAGGGAAAAATGATGAGAAACCTAAGTACTATGCTTAGGAATTCACAAAGAGTGGTGATTAATTCAGATGTGTGTTGATTAAAAAGAATCATTTCAGTATTTTTCCTGACTATTTTGTTTTCCCTTATAATTGAGGCTTTGACAATATGCATTCTGAAAAAATAAGGATGATAAATTAGCCTTAGAGCCTGCTTTGTTTGCAGGTAAACCTGGTTTATCCTTTGAGTTTATCTTTCCTGGTTGGGGAAATTCATTACTTTGCTATTTCATTAAATAATTTCTTGTGTGGGCTATCAATTACAGAGAGAAATATCCATATATAAGTGGATCAAAGCATGGATTTAAAAAAGCAAAGAGAAAGAAAAAGTGATTTACTGGGTCAGACACTCTGTTTAACATTTCAGGATCAAACCAGTACCAAATTCCTAGGACATAGTAGGGAGTCCAGCAGACAGTAAATGAAATGGCAAACACAACCGTCATCTTTAGGGTCCTCAGCCGTGCTCTTGGTATATTGTTCTTGGATTGATTCAGTTGCAGTTCTATTAGATTAGAGAAAATAGTAGAAAACAGTAGGTTTTGAATGACCAGTTTTCTCACAAAAACAAAATAGACAAAAAGAAAGACCGAATCACTAGCGCAATCTTATCCATATACTGAAAGGAAATTTATAATATTTTTAATGATAATTTGTTTGAAATGCATGTTTTTGTTCCCAAATTTCCACTATGTCATATAATAAATAGAAGGTTAAAGATGATAATGCTCTTAAAAGTTGAATTTCCACTAAACTAATCTGGGTTTGAAATATACCAAACTAGACCCATTGCCATTGGTTTATTCTGATTCATGGGGTCTCTGTAGGGATTGAGTAGGACTGTCCCATAGAGTTTCCAAGGCTGTAAATCTTTGTGGAAGCAGAGTGCTACGTCTTTGGCCTGCGGAACAGCTGGTGGTTTTGAACTGACAACCTTTGAAATATTGATATACTCAAACTTTTGAAATATAAGTTTTAAGAGAATGGGCTAAGGTTGAGCTGAATTGAATTGTGAGTTTACAAAGAATTATGTTCCCTGTATGAATACCTCTGCCATTAAGTGTAATAAGGATCGCACATGGATAAAAGTGTGTTTCTCAAAATAATCTACCTCAACTGTATGTTTTTTCTCTTATGTCAAAAATTATTTCATTTTTCACATCAATGAGGACCTTAAAATTCAGAGGTTACACCTCTTGTGAAGAAATTCATTAGACTTTAATTGAATTGCCGACTTTAACAGTCAGTCTTCCTATATGAATTTCATGACTAAGTTCTTAAAGGTAAAATTCTGCAGTTTTGAAGTGCTCAAAATCTGTTCTTATATTTAATAATCCAGTACTGCTATTTTAACATTAAAAAGTACTCTTCACATACTGTATTTTTTTGAGGGAAACAGATAATGCTATTAAGAAGTAGTCATGTTGCAACTTCTTGTTCATTGATCACCAAAGACTGGAAATATGAAGGAAAACATTTACATGAATGATGTTTTAATTATAAAATTAATTTTTGGTTAGAAACATTAAATTAGGTAACTTATTGAACACAGGCTGGTTATTCATTTTTGGTCAAACAAACTTAATTAGCATTTACTAAGTCCTTATAATGGACCTTATGCTTTTCACACACAATTTCATTTATTTCTCAGTATCTGTGAACCTAAGAAACATTGAAGTAGTGAATAATTAATAGGAGTAGACACGTTTAAAAAGGTATCTTGGCTTAGCACAGTGGGTGAATCTGAAAAAAATATAGAGCGTTCGACAACATGTTATACTTCTTGTCCTGTTCTCAAATATCACCACAATCGATTATCAGCTTACTGTTTACTGCCAGGGAGTCGCTGGGAGCCACAAATGGTTATAGTAATCTGTTCATTAGGATCTGTGGTGGTATAGTGCCTAAGGCATTCGATTGCTAACCACAAAGCTGGCTGTTCAAACTCACCAGCCACTCCTTGGAAGGAAGATTGGGCAATCTACTTCCGTAGTAATACAGCCTTGGAAACCCAAGGAGGGGTTGCTATGAGTCAGATCTGACTCGACAGCAGTGAGTTTTTTTTTTTT